AAAAATTTTTTTTTTTTTTTTTTTTTTTTTTTTTTAATAACGTACCCATTAAACATGACCGATAATTACTAAGATAAATCTCTAATTTATATATATATAAAAAAAGTAATAACAAAAATATTTAACAATTTTCACTTATGTTGTCCTTACATCCAAGGTGCATGACAAAATTTCATATCTTGCCCCAATCTGTAGAGAAAAACTAGATATAAAACCTGTGTAGATAACTTTCTCTACAAATATTTTTTTAAAAAAAATAAATCTTCAAGTTAATTTATAAAAGTTCTCACATATATTTTGTCAAAAAAATTATTTTTAATTTATGTCTAAACTAAGAAACTTATTTATTTTTCTTAAATATTTATACAGAAGTTTATCCAATTTTCATGCTCTATATTTATCCGGGTATAGAGGTTTCTGGGGTGGCTTTAGGACAAATTGCTGTTGCTTTGGACTTGTTTTCATCCAAATAATTTTGGTAGATATAAGAACTGAAACCCAAGATGGCCAACAACATGGCCACAATCTTTAGTGCACCCATTTGTTCATGGTAAAAAATGATTCCAGCAACAGGAACAAGTGGCAAGCTCATCATGCTCATAACATTAGAGAATAGTGAAGACACCAAATAGATTAGCCCTATAACCCCAACAGAACAAATTTGCCAAGCCAAAGCTGTTCCAATCAATGTCAACATATAAACCTCTCTCCCTGCCTTGAACCTCCTAATCTCATCCTTCAAGCCTTGCCCTTCTCCACTGGCAAAAAGCCCCACTATGCAAACACAAGAAGCAACAAAAGATGTCCAAAGTTGCATTTCTAGGACAACAGAAAATGTTTCCCTCTTCAACACCCTTTGAAATGATAGCTGCATCAGACACAGCAAAAGGGCATACCCTGCTGATGCACCAAGAGTGCACCAAATGCCCACCATGTGTTTGTTCCTTGTAACATTCCTGGCTTTGTCCTCTGATGAGTCAGAATGAACTGCTATAAGTGCAGCTGACACTGTGAGGAGAATCACTGAGTTGAGTATTAACAAGGTGAGTTTCTGAGAGTTGATGAAGAAGGAAAAGATGGCATTATAAGCAAGCTGGGATGCACAAATGAGAGAGTAAGTGGACACAGGAAGATATAGAAGCCCTATTGTGTACATCAAGTTATCCCCAGCTAATAGGATTCCCAATAGGAAGTAAACCATGATGAGAGTGTGAATGGAAGAAGAGTGCATGGGGGTGTCAGAAAGGTTTTTGGGGTGAGGAAAGAGGAAAATTGGTAAGAAAAGGATAGGGAATGCCACAGTTTGTACTAGTGTTACCATCCATATACTTTTTCCACCTTGGTCAAAGTAGTATCTCCCCAACAAAACTGCACCAGATTGGCCAATCAAGAGTAAGGCTACGTTGATCACTACTAAAATCCACCACTTCCAACGTCCATGCTTGAAGAGTGGTTGTTCATCATCTTCATTAGTTGTGGTTGAAACAGTTACTGCAATTGATTCTTCTTTGAGAGCATTATCTGCTACAAGGTTATGTCCTGTAATATCCAATTATTGAACATTGTTTCTGAGTTGTCACACACAATTAATCTGATAGTCACTCTTTATATTTGTTAAAGAAAACACATGTTTAAACAAGTAAAACCTTATCAGCTCTTGCTTTCTGAGAATTTGCAAAGATTGTGAATTGAAAGAAAAATTGAAGATGATATAATAAAAAAGTAACCTGGATGGTAGAGTGGGGAGGCTTCAATTTCTCTATTAGCCATTCAAATCTGTGTGGTGGATGATGAATCACTAGGTGTATGAGCATTTGCTTGGTGTTGATAAAACTATCCTCTAAATCTATAGGATATAGCCATAATTGAAACACAGCTTTACTGCTCAAATTCCTATTTTTTAAGTGATAGCTCAAGCTTCTATGTGCATAGTTTTAAATTGTTTATTCTTTATCTAAAGCATAGAGATGTCTACATTGTTTCACAATGGAATACTATGTTTGGATCTATGGATCTTTCCCTTAAAGGCGGCAAGGCGTAAGCTTCCATTTGGACGGTTTCAATATTGGAATCAAATTCATCCCAAAAAGATGTTATTGTTCTCACCTCCAATTTCTGGTATGCACGAATTGTAGGTTTAAATATGTTTTTAGTCTCTTAAATTTAGAATAAATTTGTTTTTAATCTCTCAAATTTAAAATTATTATTTTTAGTTCCTGTAATTTTAAATAATCTTATTTTAGTTCCTGTAATTTTAAAAAGATTTATTTTAGTCCCTCAGATCATCAATAACATATCTAAAACTGATAAATTAATACACTTATGCAATATCAACTAGATTTAATGTGATGTTTTCACTAACAAGGACATTAATAGGTATATTTTATGTAATAATATTTGATAAATTTCTTAACAAAATTTGAATGTAAGGATTAAAACAAAAATTTTGAAAATTACAAAGACTAAAAACAACCGTTTTAAATTTGAGGGACTAAAAACAAATTTATCTTAAATTTGAGGGACTAAAAACATATTTAAGCATATTTTGTAGAGCTGTCAAAACGGGCCAACTGGCCCACCTTGACCCACTTTAAAAACGAGTCAACCCAACCCGGCCCACTTGTGATTTTCTCAAAAAAAATTTGGCCCGGCCCGGCCCACTACGGGTTGGTGGGTTATACGGGCCAGCAGCCACCAAAAATTAAAAAAAAAAAACAACAAAATTCAAAATTTTAAATTAATTATAAATTAACATAATAGTCATAAAATTAACATCATTAATAGTCATAAGTCATAATTCATCATACAAAATTAAATACAAATCATGATAAAAGTCTAAAATAAAAATTTTCAATATACCATCATACAAAATTAAATACAAATCATACTTAAATTTTTATTGCAAAAAAAAAATGGTGGGTTGGTGGGCTCCCCGGCCCACCACGGGTTTAGCCCGGGTGGGCCGGGTCAAAGTGGGCCGAGTTGAGATATACCCACCTACTATAAAACTTCAATTTTTTTGGCCCGGCCCGGCCCGTTTTCAAGGTGGGCCGGGTTGGCCCACGGGTCCCGGCCCACTTTGACAGCTCTAATATTTTGTATCTATATATATTTAATTATTTGTAGAAGAAATATTTTTTATGTAATAAAATGATTATTTAAAAAAAAATTGATGTTTAAAATTTGTGTATATATTTAAATATCTATAAATAAGCTATTCTAATATATACACAACTCGTAGATCTAAGTTGTGTTCGATTTGATTTCCTTAAATAAGATCTCATGTTCGAGTATGAAAAAAAATGTGCCACTAAAAGTGACAAGTCAAATTCTTTAAAATTAGTCATCGATAAAATTGATAGATACTTTGTACCAATATGATTGTTACCAAAATAAAAGAGAATATCTATACATAAAAATTCTTGAAATTTAAATATATTTTTTTTTTTGGCTTCCATTGTGTCGTTTACTTTTTCTTATGGTCCTTATAATTTAAAATGTCCCTTTACTTTTTTTTTTAATCAAAAAATCGTTAGCTCAAACGACTCATCACTTGTATTCTTTAATCATGAATTAAACTTTGATTCTCATTTGTATAAGAAGTTGCAATTTAAAATATTATTTTATATCTTTATTAAAAATAATGTCTCTTTATTTTTACTTTTTATATATACTTTTTTCTTTCTCTTTTAGTCATTGTCATCTATTTTTCACTAATGTGATTTACTTATGTGATAATGTTGTGAAGATTACTTTGACAAGACATTTTTTTAAATGCCTTTCCCGTTTGTATTTTATTTACTTAATTTTTTTTCCTTTTTAGTCCACGTTTTTTATTTTTTATTTTATTTTTCATTAACTTCCTTTTAATTCACGTCATTTATTTTTCATTAACGTAATTTGTATTGTGAACATGACAGACCACTTCTAAACGACATTTCGACGTGATATATCTTTTTTTTTTCGACATTGCGACATAAATTTAAAGTTGATAAAAATTAGGAAAAAATATTAAATACACAAAAAAAATCAACATAATTATCACAAATAAAAAGAGAAAATCTATAATCATCTACTTGAGAATGCATGTAAACCGTGGTTTTTATATCCAATGCATGATGTATCTAAATAGTCTCACCTCAAGAAATTTTAGAGCATAAACATAATTACAATTAATATTTTTTTATATATATAAGTATATATATTTTTGTTGGAATAAAAACAAGTTCCCCAAATCGATAAAATAAAACAAGAAATAACAATTTATATAACATAAACATACTTCAATAATTGAGATGCCTTTTAGATGATGACTAAAAACAAAATCGTGGAATTTGAGCTTAGTTCCAAAGTGAACAATATCTCATCATTGTGGAGTATGCTTGTGTAATAATCTTATAAAAATAACATTAATAAAATATCCCCTCAGACAAATACCATAAATAACTCTATCAATTTTTAAGTAATTACATTTGAGAGTTTAATATTTTTAAAATTATATTGCTTAAAATTTTGAGCATAAGGTAGAAAATACGAATTTGGATCCTTTCCTACAATCTTCTCTCTCCAGCCTCTCTCCAACAACATTAATAATTATTAGATATATTTAATGGTTCAAATTTTTGTAATATAATTAATGTAATTTCTTAAATGATTTTTAAGGTTAAATTTAAGCCATTAAATATATTTAATGATTATTATTATTGCTAGAAATAGGCTAGAGAGAAAAGATTAATCCAAATTCGGAAAATACCAGGTACGGACAAGCGTAGGTTGCCCAACGATATGGTCAAAGCTGGAAAACGAGAACAAAAAATAATGTATTAAAAATGATTAAATTATGTTTTTAAAATTAAAGTTGGTCTTACTAGTTTTTAATGGTTTAGTTTAATCCTCTAATTAAAAAAAATATTTTTCTTCCTTTTAAATTGAGATTAACAACATTAATAAAATCAAACAGATGAATAATATTGAATATTTTTTAAAAATTAAAAAATCAAATTGGAACAATTAAAATTAATGAGAATAAATTAAATATTAGAAAATTGAAGGATTAAATTAAATAATAACTTATTTAATAAAAATATTATTTTATTATTTAAATAAATTTAAATTTTCTTTTATTAGATAACCGTTTTGTCAATCAATTTTTTGTTCAAAATACTCAATTTGTTGTTCTGTGTAATCTTGTTAAACAAATTAATTTTTTTTTTCATGAATCCTATTCGATTATTGTTTTAAAATTTTTGATTCAACCATCTGATTCAATTCGTCTAATAGAGAACCAATCAAATTAAAATAAAATTGCCTCGTATCAGTGTAAGATTTGTCAAACTAATATAAAAATGATAAAAGAAACTAGGAAATTTTAAAAGAATATATATTTTTATTTACTTACGGTCTTAGTTTAGTCTAAAATAATTTTAAGATAATTAAAATATTTATTTTAATATTACATATAGGTAATCTTTTTCATCATTATTCAATTTGGTCTTTATATTTATTTTTAAGTATTCAATTTGTTTCCATTATTTTTAAATAATGCAATTTAATCATTTAATTTTCAAAAAATGTTCCATTCTATCTTTTTTGTCTAATTTCATTAATATTAAGTGTTAATTTAAAAAGAATGACGGTATTGAATATTTTAAAAAAATTAAAAGATTAAATTAAATCATTTAATAATAAAAATTAAATTAAATTCTAAAAATAATTAGAGAAACTGCAAATCTAATTTAACTAAAAACATTCAGATCTATATCAAAAGAGAAGAGTAAGACAATAATACACTCCTTATTGTGAATAATAAATTTTTATCTGAGAGTATTTTGAATTTAAAATTAAAAATGAAAAAAATAGAAATAAAATATGTGAGAGGATAAGAGAATAAGGGATTGATATTATCAAATATTCAATTGTAATTAAAGAGAAAAATTGATTAAATGATGATATAAAAATAAAAAATAATGAAATATCTCGACCAACATCAGAAAAGAAAGAGGAAAAGATATTGACAGAAAAAAGAAAACACTGACAAGAGAGTTAGAGATTAGAAAGAAAAGAAAAAATGGTTTTACACTGCATTTAAAAATTATGATACTATTGGTTAGAAGCCCAAAGCACACATCATCATTTGTTGAACATCAGTTTAAATCACAAGTTAAATAAATTTTTAGTTTCATGTTGTGGTATTTAATTCTTTATTTAACTCTTTTTTTTTTTTATATTATGTTTTTCGCCTTTCATTTTATATATACCGTATGCCTTGTTTATATATAGTAAATTTGTGGTGTATTTATTTATTTTTTTTACCTTGGATTGGTGTTAAGGGGTATAACATTCGAGTCTTCTAGGTTCTAGAAAATATTAAAAAATTGTTCCGAAAGTGACCAAATCTTTTTCTTATTTTATTTTCATATGTTAATTAGATTAGTAATTGGATAGTTTGAA